ACCCTTCCGAAAACCCCGCATTACCTGCCGCATCACAAATTGCTCGGTCACGTCCTGCACACCCAGAAACCTAAATAAAAGGCAAATGCCGCCAAATGCCCCATTCATCCCTGGAAACTGACACACCCTGCGCAACACCCCGCCAATATAGTACAACAGGAACAATAACCGGTCCACGTCAGACAATGGGGCAGCCGCACCACCAATTCCAAACATCCCCGCCAAGCGGACGAGCACGCCGTCCAAGTGCCTGTGCTTACCGACTGCCGAATCAGCGCTCCAGAGAGAAACACTTTATCCCGGAAAGTTTTACTCTGCTCGATCGAGCAGAGTGAACCTTTCCCTGCTCTGTTTTCTCGGCGGCATTCGGCTATTCACTCACTGCTATTCGGCATCTATGAGAATACGCAGAACAGCAGCGAGTAGCATCCCAGAGGTACGGCTCAGCCGATCCAGATGTTGGATCGGCTGAGTCTAACTCTTCTGCACTTTGGGTCGGCCGAACACGCTGACCATGTTTGGCCGACCCAAAGCAAGCTGCAGCAAGCCGATGTACGGCTGATTTTTTCCGGTGTACGGCTGAAATCAGCCGTACAAGCCTGAAGTGAATAGCCGAACAGCGTTCGGCTCACTGCACTTCGGGTCGGTTATTCACTCGGCTGCCTACGGCAGCTTTGTGAATAGACCCCTTAGAGTCTCTGTTAGAGAGATATTTGTTCACTTCTGTTCTGGTGACAAAGGTTTGACTAGACTGAACATGAGGGTAAACCACCAACAGCAACACTAAAAGAAGAAGAACTTTCTTTTAAATTGGTGAAGGGACTAGGGATAAACTTAGGTTCAGACTAAACTGAGCTCATCTGATTATAGAAGGAAGTGGATAGGACATGTAAACAAATCAGCGGGATGCTGATGACGTTGACCTAATATGGTCAAGTGCCATGTAAGGTCAACAATGTCAAAAGCATTCGGCCCCTTTGCTTATGTGCAGCTCTTGGGTGGAGAATTCCACATCTGATTGGGCCGGCACTGTCAGTTTCCTCCCAGGTTCAGATGAGCTCAAGTTCAGTCTGAACCCAAGCTCATTTCTAGTCTGGACCATTTCCTTCATGTGTATTGTTTGCTGGGATCACCAAAGCTTATTCACCCAACATTCCAGGCTAAGGAGGTATATGTGCTGGGCAGATATGGTTTATGAAGCCTTTTTGCTCTCTATGGCCCTGTTTAAAAATGAAACCCAGATTTATTCACAGGGATGGATCTTCAAAACACAAGATTGTACCTAGAAATAAGTGTCAGCTGTCTAATATGAGATAAATGCATGACATCAGAAAAAGAGAAGTAGGTTTTTGTACAGCTTTGTATCACTGTGTGAATGGTAGCTCTCTATACTGCTGACAGTAATAACTTCCTTCATCCTCTTCACTCACTCCCTGTATTGTCATTGTGAAGTGAGTTCCTGATCCAGATCCACTGAACCTATCTGGAATCCCAGATGCTCGGCTACTGGTGTGATACAAGAGGAGTTTAGGAGGTTGATCTGTTTTCTTTTGGTACCAGGCTATCAAGTGAATGTTTCCTGAGTAATAAAGACTTTTACTGGATGTACATGTGATGGTGACTGTCTGTCCCGGGGACACAGTGATAGAATCCGGAGTCTGAGTCATCACAATCTGTCCACAGGATCCTGAGGATGGGCAGAGACATAAATAATATTAATAGATTTTATTATAAAAGATATACAATTTAAATTGTCTATATTTCACACTATAGCTTTATGTAAGGATCTTACTTCTGTTTATGATGAACCAAAATACTGAACAGTGTTCCCTATGTAGTTATTACCTGGCAAAATATTCTTAAGAGGTTTTCACAGGATTTCTTTATAAATCAGTTATCTGATGAACATACATTTATTTATCCTTATGCTTTCTTTTCCTGACTCTTTATGAAATAGATGGAAGATATCCTCATACCTTGGATGTAGACATAAAAGACACAGAGTAGATATGTCAGAGGAAGCATCTTGATGTGTCTGGTCTGTCACACACACAGATTATTGACCTCTATGCTAAACTGTTTATATAACATGAAATCTATAGGGAAATAATCTCAGAGTCTCACTATGTAAAACAGGAAATATTCAAATGTTACAGTTTGTCAGTTTATAAAAGGCACAATATATCAGTGCTCAGTAGAATGTGGAAAAGCAGCAGTGTGATGTCAGGGTAGAATGCACCCAGCATATTACATTATTAAAGTGATGCTTGTTATGTATGAATTAAAGCTGAACTCCAGTAAAAAATATGTCCT